CAGGGAAGCTGCTACATGCCCATCAGCACAGGAGAGAAAGAAATGAGGATGTTACCATGGGCTTCATAAAATCATAGAATCAACTGGGTTGGAAAAGACCTCCAAGATCATCAAGTCCAACCCTACTGTGGTCACCAGACCATGGCACTAAGTGCCACATCCAGTCTCATCTTAAAAACCTCCAGGGATGGTGAATCCACCACCTCCCGGGGCAGCACATTGCAATGCCTGATCACTTTGTAAAAAATCTCTTACTCATATCCAACCTAACCCTCCCCTGGCAGAGCTTGAGTCTGTGCCCTCTTGTCCTGCTGCTGGTTGCCTGGGAGAAGAGACCAACCCCCACCTGACTCCAACCTCCTGTCAGGGAGTTGTAGAGGGTGATAAGGTCTCCCCTGAGCCTCCTCTTCTCCAGGCTGAACCCCCCCAGCTCCCTCAGCCTCTCCTCATGGCACTTGTGCTCCAGTCCCTTCACCAGCCTCGTTGCTCTTCTCTGGACCTGCTCCAGCACCTCAATGTCCCTCCTGAGCTGAGGGGCCCAGAGCTGAGCACAGGATTCAAGGTGTGGTTTAAGCCCAAGTAAAATCAAAAAGGCTGAAAAAGCATGAGTTTAGCTTCTTTCAGCTGTAGATAATCTCTGCTAATATGTAAAAAGCCATAGTATCTTCAAAAAAAATTAGCAGGTGGTAAAGTGATCTCTGCTAATATGTAAAAAGCCATAGCATCTTCAAAAAAATTAGCAGGTGGTAAAGTATAACTACTCAGAAAAAAACTACAGGCCGGGATCATTCTGATCAGGAGCAGGGGAGGAAGGTCCAGAGCACTGTGACACATATATCCCCCCTCCTCAGCAAGGGGCTGCTACTGTGTCTGAGGAGAGGGGTGGGAGCTTTGGGATCAAATCCTTATTCTGTGCAACTGTAAAAATCAAAAGTTGCCCAAGTGTCTTTTGAATTCAGTTAATCTCTGGACTGAAGGGCTTCTGAAGGGCAGCTCTATCCTTCTGAAAGAGGAAAGGCCTTTCAAGCCATTCCACTTCCAGCCCCTTGTGTCTGTTTTTGTTCTTTATGCTACAAAAAAACGCACACCAAGAATTTTTCCCTTGCTCACACATCCTTCCTACCAGCCCAATAAAAGGACTGGACTTGAACAGTCAAAATGAGCTACTCCAGCAGCCAGATAAAAGACACAGGTTTTTAGAAAAGGTATGCACTACTCCTACAGCACTGCTGAAAGGGAAAGACACTACTTCAATGTGACTTAATTCTCTTCCAAAGTGAATGCAAGATTAGCTCTGGAGATGCTTTGAAGCTGAATACTTATATCCTAAAAATATCTGGAAAACAAAGGGAGAACTCTATACACAGGAGGAGGACTTGTCCATATTGAAACAAATCAGCAATTACCTTTTATCATGTCTCCACATCAGGGTGAGAGCTGAGTTAAAACCACCCTGGAATCTACCTGCTTACCTCTGGAATTCCCTGTTTAGCACACAACACTCCTGCCCAAGGTGACCCTGGGCACTCACTGCAGCAACCAACCTGGCTGCTCTCTGCACCCCATCCCTCCTGCTCTCCAGGGTTTGCTGGCCCTCACCTGCCGAACGATGCTCTGGATCAGCTTGTCCATGGTGAAGGCGATGTAGGCGTGGATGGTGAACATCTCGCGCAGGGAGTCCTCGTACTGCGACGAGTCCATGTTCCCATCCAGGAGGTTCCGCACCATGTCCAGGAAGGCTGGATAATAATCCTCAACATCGATGTCCACTGTGACAGGGGAGAAGGGGAGAGATGAACACACCACTCCCAGGAAGGGTCGGCACTGTTTTGGTCCTCAGGTGACCCATTGAAGCTGAAGAGTGACTGGAATAGGGTTAAATGTGGTTTTTATGGACATAAATGAGCCTTTTTAAGGCCACAGGTATTTTCCTGATCTCTTGCTTTCTAGCCCTAGCTTCCTTCATGAGGTTTATATTTCTGAAAGACTTTGAAAAGCTTTGAGTTAGGGAACTTGAGAATATTTAAGATACACAAGTGTAAAATGACATATCTGCTGCACATTATCCTTCTGCTATTCAATTTCCTTATTCCCCACATCTCCTCCCTCAATTCAGTGCTGCCCAGGGACCATAAAAGAGATCCCCCCATCTTACAGGGGCACTGAAGACACCAGACAAACCCTGCCACCTGCAAAAAGCAGCACTTTTCTCCCCCAGCCTCCCACCAGAAGTCACTCACTGGGCTCCTTCAGTCGCAGCTGGATGGCAGGACTGTCACTCTTGTCTCGCTTTATGCCCAGCACTTCCCTCTCCCACTCCCGTTCCCGTGTCTCCTCCTCGATCTGCCGCTCGGCCTGGGTGCAGATCCGCAGCAGCCGCAAGCACAGGATCTGGTGCAGCCTCATGAAGATGTACCAGTTGCTGTTGACGTAGAAGAGGTTGTAGACCTCATCCATACCACGCAGCTTCTGGGCCGTCGTGTTGTTGAACATCAGCTTGGTTTTGGGGGGACTGCCCCCAACGCCGTTGTGCTTTTTTGCAGCCCCAGTAGCTTCGTCCACATCCATTTCTTCTTCTTCCTCCTCTTCCACATCCGAGAGTTCACCTCGCTGAGCAAACAGCAGGTCTGGAATGAAGTGATACATGATCTGCTTGATTTTGTACTTGTCCTCTTTCTGGATTCCCGTCTGCCGCTTCACGTGGTGGATGATGAGAGAGGCAGCATCTTCCAGGATCTGCTTGTCTTCGTAGGCTAGCGAGAGGTGTGGGCCTGTGGGGACCCCAGCATTGTCTTCTGAAGCCTGCTCTTGCCTCTACAAAGGAGAAACACAGCACAAAAATCAGCCCAAATCATGTCTCTCCACCCAAGAGCCTTTCAGAAAGCTCTGCCAGCAGCACAGACTTCCTCCCTCATCAGGCTGTGAGGAATAGGAACTGAAACTGCACTAGCAAAGTACATAAGGATGAGGGAAGGAAACTATTGGTGACCATCTTACCTCATCATAGATGCTTTCAATCTCATTGAGGAGACTTTTTGATCTCAGGACCTTGGTATCATTCTGCTTGAAGTTAATGCCCTGGTGGTCCAAAGATTTCAGGTAATACTTCTCATTCTGCTCTCGCCAGACTTTATTAAATCCTCTCTGGGCTTCTCGCCACTCCTCCTCTTTCATCTTTAACCTTGGATGAAGAAAACAAGGGTGAGCTAAGAGGTGGGCATAGAAGGAAAGATTCATATAGGTCCATGGTTCCTGGTGAGTGTTGAGAAGAGCTGAACTCCTGATGAGATGGATGTAAATGAAAGACATCCCACAGAAAGGAGTTTTACAGGAGCACCCTGGACATGCTCTTCTGAAGAAACCACTCTCTGGGTTTCTTTCACATCTCAGTAAAACCACCCAGGAACAAAGCAGCCCTTCTGTCTGCAGCAGGAAGAGGGGACAAAGAGACAGGAAAGCCAAAAGAGCTGGTCTAGGTCTCTCAGAACTCCCCAGAAAGTCATGCAGCTCCAGCTGTGGAACGGGAGCAGCTTAGTTTGGATGACAAACAAAGCATGGACACCTAAGTGTCCTGGGAATGGATTCCTGAACTTCCACTCAGTATTGCAAGCAAAACACTCCTGATTTGGTTCAAGAAGAGAGTGTTCTTGCAGCAGGGTAGGAAAACTGGGACCTTACAGGTATCCTGGGAAGGCTGCAACCACCAACTCCAGAGCACCAAGACATGGGACCAACAATCCCACAGGGACAAAATGTGACCAGGGAGGAGTATCTCCTGCTTACACATCACCTTGAGCTTCCCTAAGGAATTGCAGCATCCCCTCCCTTTTCTGGACTGAGGAAGGAGGGGTTGAAAACAGAAACCAAACTGGGAATGAAGGTAGCACAGCCATGGGAATTTGAGCCCACAGGCACACACAGCCACAGGATTTGGAAGGGGATCACATTTAGCCCTGGGACAATCCACACAGCAGAGTTTCCTCATCTTACACACAGTGCTGACCCTGGGAAAGAAACAAGGTTTAAGAAGAGACAACTAAAGCTCCTCCCAGCTGAGCTGTAATGATTTTGTTTCAGAAAGGTAATTTCCTTTTTCCAGGTGATTATTATGGAATACACCAACTGACCAGAACAGAAGTGCACTTCTTAATTTTATGGACTCATAGAATGGTTTGTGTTGGAAGAACCTTAAAGATAGTATCATTCCACCCCTGCCATGGGCAGGGACACCTTCCACCAGCCCAGGTTGCTCCAAGCCCCATCTAAGCTGGCCTGGAACACTTCCACTGATGGGACAGCCACAACCTTTCAGGGCAAATTTACAGTCCTGTGGAAGTCACACCCTCCAGGGGCAGAAATCAGTTACTTTTCCATAAACCTGGACCACGTAGGGTGTGCTACCTTTTGGAAGAGCCCCCAGGGCAGGGTGCTGGGGCAGTCAGTACCTTTTCAGCACGATGGGGACAGCCACGGATGGATTCTTGCGGAGCCCATCGATGATGTCAGCAGCTTTGTCAGCATATATCCTCTGGAGAGCCTTGCGGTGGATCACCTCCGAAGTGCCCCCCAGGGTGTTGTCCAGCCTGAATTTGGCCTGCTCCTCAGCAGACAAACGTGAGAGTTTCTTTTGGATTGCCTCAAGGACGCGGATCGTTGCCAGGTTGGTCTCCAAGACAACATCCAGCTGGAGAGAACAGTGCATTAGCCATCATTGAATAGACAAAACATGATACTTCACAGAGGAGAACATTCAAGTGACATGAAACAAGAAGCTGTGCCTGTTTAACAAGGTGTACTTGAGCAGTTTCCGTGTTCAGCTGCTCTAAAATAATCCAATTATATTTTCTCTGCTACCTAGATAATACTGCATAAGAATTTAAAGGCTACCGGAGTGATACTGTTGGGAAATTACATTTTCCAACTGGGAATAAAACACAGTTGAGAGTTACTCCACAAAAAGATGTGCCAAATCTGAGCAGATTCAGGTAATTGCTGAGCTAACTTCCATTTCCAGTCAAGATGTCAGTCACTGAACTTCCTGAACATATCACTTTTCAGATGATTACAGGGGGTGCATGTTCTTGTGTGCTATGTGGGCAGGAAGAATAGAAAAGAGGCAGCAATTCCATGCTGGCCATTCAAGAATCTGATGTGGAGTGGGTGAACCAAGACCTCTGCCCAGAAAGGTGAGGGGCATGGGTGGGCAACTTGGTGGTTATAGGGTTGCTGCTTCTTGCATTAAGAGAACACAAGTTTTTATGCCAAAAAACCCAGGTGACAGACACAATAAAAAGAGATTCTAAGATGTAGCACTGAAGGTATAATTACATCAAGCTCATTAACTGCTCACAGAACAGAGCTTTTGGAGACATGAAGGAAGGAAAACCAATTTACCTCGAAACGCTCGTCCTCACACCTGTAGATGTGCTCTTCATACTGTGTCTTCTTGGAGCTCACAAATGTGGAGTCTTCAGACCAGGATGGGAAGGAGACCCAGGTGTCATTCAAAACCTTTGAGGGAGAGGAGGGGACACAAGAGTCTTGGTCAGTGTTCCAAGAGGGTCACACTTGGCCAGCTCCGAGCTGAGCTTTCTGATGGGGGGATCTAATTTCCCAGCTGGAAAAACCATGTGCCCCTTCTGAAGTTCAGCATTCACAGGGCAACCTCAACCACCCAGGACCAGGACACCCAGGTAGTCTGAATAATTCATTAGGTGGAGCTGGAAGGAAAAAACTTGCAAGGGAAGAGGGGGAAAAAAAAAAAGGTGAAAGGAGCTTTTTTTGTTACTTTGGCTTAGTCAACTGCAACCAGCTGGTTCCTCATGTGTGTGTGATTCACCATCACCAGCACTGGGTGGTCATCAGGCAGACCTGACTGTCAGACAGGACGTGGTTGCTGCCTCCAAATATGGCTAACTGGGAATATAAATCCATACCCCAGCATTACCTTTCCTGGTAAAGCAGCTGAGCACCTGCAGCTTTCAACACAGGAACAGAACACTCCAAAAAACAAAGACCTCAAAGAGGTCAAAGGCAAAGCCACCAGGATTTTGGCAGGCAGTCCTGAAAGCCAGGCCCAGTTTCATAAATCCAGAGCCTGAATAAGTGAGTCATTAGATTCTTGCAGGAAGAAAAGGTTGTAACTGCATCACACAAGATGTTTTGGAGAGATGTGTCAGGACTTAGATTAAAAACTCAGCGTTTCAGGGAGAAAGGAAGAAGCATGTGAGGGACTATGTGGGAGAATGTCTGCAGGAAACGTGATTTTCTTTGAAAGTTGGACTAGAGAACTCTGAAAAGAGACTAAGTGGGAAATTTGGGCAAAAAGGTAACTTTGGTTAAGGAAAGGACCTTCTTGGTTAAAAAGGTAAGATTAAAAAGGTAACCTTGAATTACATACTGCCTGGTGAAGGGTCCCTGAGATCACAACAGGACTGTACAGAAAATGAGTCCTGTCATCTGCTACTTGGAGTGTATGAATTTGTAATCTGAATGGTTTTTTCCTCAGGTTATGCTACATGAAACATAAATAAAACGTAGGAGCATTAGCTTTGTCAGGAGTTAAGCATCATAACTAGTGAGTTTTTTTCCAGCTGCTTTCCAGTGCTCTACACAATCCTTTCACACACACCCCTGGAGAAGCATCAAAGCCATGCGGGAATCAGCACTCCCAGAGAGTTTCCAGCATAACCCATTCCTAGAGGATGCCTTGCCCTGTGCACTAGCCTCTGGCTATGATCCAGATGTTTGCAGGAGTGCCATTGGGAACACCTCAGGTGTGATCACCTCAGGCTGCAACACATCCTGTGATGATCCCAAGCCAGGATGGTGTGCCCACACACGCCTAGGGGCAGGAACAGCATGGATCAGTGCTGGCTCAGTGCTAAGCAGGCAGCTGCCTGGGCCCAGCTCCATGTCCAGCACCATCAGATCTACCCTGACATCCCCAAGAACCTTTTCAACACCATGCAGGGATAACAAAATCAACTCCCCATCTCTGTTTTGCTCTCCCTTGCTCCATCCCTTTGGGAAGAGCCTTCCTCTCTCTCACACAATTCCCACCTGAGAGCACCTTACCTCTTTACAGAGTGGAGTCCTCCCAGTGCACTTGGGTTGCTGGTAGCTCTTGGGCAAGGCTCTGTAGCTGGAGCCCAACCTCTTGCAGGAGGCATAGTCTATCTCCATGGCAATCCCCTCAGTAGCCCTTTCCTTCGGATACGTCTCCATGTGAACAGACTCTTTATAGCCCAGAAAGTTTTTAAACCAAGTGAACAATTCTGGGAATTTCCTAAACATAAAAAGAGTGAAGTGAAAAACTGAGCTAAGGAAAAATCAAACAGCACTGAGCTGTGATGCTGAGGCTGTAAGTGATTGCTGCAGTGTCCAACACAACCCTCTGAACCACCAGCCTGGTGAGAGAAGACCCTCTTTGCTCAATCCTGCTTCCATAGAACCTGACCAGATGGGAAGAAAACACCTGTTGTTGCTCAGGTGGTGGACTGCTCTCTTGGTGCAACTCAGGTGCTTTAGGATTAGCAATGAGCAAGGAAAAGTAGCCTAAGCTTTTGCTGCAGGGACAGCACTCAGGGCAGAGTCACACCTGAGTCTCCCAAACTCTCCCAATAGCAACCTCTGGCCAGATTCCTAGTTGTTTGCCAACGTTTTGAACATTAAATCAGACCTTTCCTTTCCAAAAGCAGCAAAAGAAACTGAAAATCGATTCTGTAACCACACAGCAAAAGGTTTCAGTGCTGAGCAATCAATTCAACCAGACTACATACCATGGAGAAGCCTTTGCCTGCAAGGCCCAAGTTCACCTTGTAAAGTTTCCTGAAGAATTTATTAGTCTAAAATACTGCATTTGTTCAACTCCTCTTACCTGATGCAAACCACCAGTGAGAGGAGGAAGTGAACCTGTTGCTGAGGCTAATCGAATCACTGTTCATTCACTGCTTTTCCATTACATGGCAAAAGATAATGTCCAACTCCAGAATTAAAAACCCCTGTATTATACCTCTCCCAATGCAGGTAGCAGCACAGGCAGCAGATGGGAAAAATCCAGATCTTTTTTGTCAAATATTGCACATTTCCTAGCTAAAAGTAATGTCCTGCTGATGCCTGACTAATTCCAGTGGAGCTACAGAGCAAGTGGAAGCTCCTTGGGGCACTTTCTTTGCACAGTAGCTACAGAAATGGGGTCCTGAACCCAATTTATGTTGCTGTTGCCTTCTCCCTTGGAATCAGGAGCCCAGTTCACAGGCATAAGGAACATTAATCCTGCTGTCCAAAGTTGATGCGAGGATATCAGTTGGTTTTAGCCAATTAACAGAGTTCTGTACACGACTGGCAATCATGGAAGTCATAATTCCCATTTAAACTATATCACTCTCTATCACTTTTGGCTCCTCAACAGATTTCATCTGCTTTTTCGAAACTCAGTGGAAACTTTAGTGAATTTATATCAGCACTCTGGTTTTTTTAGGGAGGGAACTTCCTATGTAATTAGACAGTTAATCTTATCTCAAATGCAATAATCTGTGATTTCAGAGTAAGAAACTGCAATAACAAACTCTTAAATAATTGTTTGCTCTTCAGGAAAATGAAGAAACACAGTAAGCAACACCAGCACTAGTCTTACACGCTGCTGTCAAGACACAGCTGGGAATCCCTCTTCTCTCTGGAATAAGGAAAGGGCAGCACAGAAGACCATGAAGTTTAATGTTTCTTGCCTGGCTCCACAACCAAAACAGACTAAGAAGATGAAGCTTCTTGCCTTGTGTAAGGAAACAGGGTACACTTACCCCAGGAATGGAGAAACCAGCTGCACGAGCTCAGCCCTGGAGATCACCTCCTGGTTGAAAATAACCAGGCAGCGCAGGAAGTTCTCGTAGGCCTCTGTGCTGCGCAGAGCTTTGCGGACCTTAAGAAGAAAAGAGAAGCTGTCAGGGTGAGATCAAGCAGGGGGAGCCCCAGGAGACCTGGATTTGACACTGTGCTTCCCACTGATCTCCAAGTGAGCTGAGCAGAGGGAACTTGCCCTGGACACAAGGCCTGACAAACAGGTACCAGCAGGAGCCATCCCTGTGCTGGGGATCCTCTGCAACATCAGCACTGGGGCATTACTCTGAGGAAGGAGTCACAAGTGAAGAATGAAATCCTTCAAAGGACCCTCTAATGGATGGATTATGAAATGCTGGAATTGTGGACACCATCAGTGGTAACTGCAGCACCACAAAGCCACTCAGGCTGCCTTTAAACTCCAGAGAATATTCCAAGCAGGGAGCAGGGTACAAGACCTGCACCCTGAGTAACCTAGCTCCACCCTCTGCCTGCTGACAGCTTGGGTTACCACAGACAATCCTGCTCCTGTAACCCTGACCTTCCCAGAATGAGGAACCCAAACTATTCATCCCAACACCATTACCTTTCCCATGAGAACAGTTGGATCTATGCATCATACTGAGACCTATCACAGCTAAGATATTCATCATTACAGCTCTAATTCCACAGCAGGGATTTCTAGGTTTACTCATGTTAACACCTACGCATCCTCCAAGCAATAAACTGGTTCCCAGTTACCATTAGCTGGTCCCCAGCATGCTGCAAAATTCACCACATCAGCAGGGAGCAACCAAGACTGTCATTGAGGTATGAATATCACTTGGAAGGATTGGTTTAAATTCATTATATATTCCCCTCTGAACCATCCAGAAATCTATGGACATCTTAGGGAAGACACCAAAGTACCACTTGGAAACATCTTACATTTCCTTCACTTGTTCTGTGTGGTAAACCAGCAACAGGTAACAACTGTGCAATTAATGAGATTAATCTCGAGAATGGGGAGGGGGGGGAGCCCAACCCAATGTAAATGTGAATTAGCTCTCCATAAACTGAGTTCCTGCACTGCAGGCAGCTGGTTGTGGATGGGTACAAGCTGTGCCAACACAGCAAGACAAGCCATGCACATCATGGCCTGGATGGGATGTTCATAAGGGGGAAAATGATTTGGGGTGTGGGTTACAGGAAAATACTCCCATTCCTGCAATAAACTGCAGCAGCAGTGGGTGGAAAGGTGGAGAAGGTGCTCTGGGGCAAGGACATACATAAAATAATCACTATTTCTAAAATAATGTGAATGGCTCTGAGTTAGAGGCTGCAGGATACATCTGAGGTCAAGCTGAGAAATGTGATCAGGGTGGCGCAAATCCCACACTTCACATACACGAAGGACATTCATCACTGACAAGCAAGAGCTGCATCCCACCTCTCACCTTCTCAAAGAAGAGAGATTCTGTCCCCACACCATGTTTGCTGGCTTCTGCCAAAGACTGGTCTTTCAAACCAAGTAGCTTTGGTTTCTTCTGTTGAAAGAAAAAACCAACAAAAGAGGTGTTCAGCAAGTTGCCATGACTTGAGTATCCATCACACAAGGGTGTCAGATTCCTGACCCCACCATATGCTTTCCCCTAAAAGAAAGGTGGCTTTTTTTGGAAGGGACTTTCCATTAAAATGTGTGCCACAAGTTCATTTATTAAAGGTTAACAAGTAGCCTAAAACTCCAGATATTTGTCATACACTTGCTGCACCCTTTTCTGTAACTAGGGGATTGAAACAATCACACTCCACCATCTCTCATTTTTCCAACTAGTTTGCAAAACTCCCAGAAGAAATGTTTTTTCCTATCACTCACCCGGTTCTCCAAGTCTTTCATCTCCCTAAAATTATCATTTCTTTTTCTCTCTTGCATTCCACTGCAAGATCCTTTATTTTCCCCACACCAGCACTGCAGTCTCTCCATCCTCAGCAAACTGAGAGCTGCCTCCAAAACGGGTTTTACTTTGCTGCCCTTGATTTGAAGAGGAAGAGAAAGGGCAGAAGGGGATGCAAATCACTGGATTTAAATGAAACAGCTATGCTGGCTAGTACTTTTCACCACAAAGCAAGATACACTGCCTTCAAATAAAGCAGGCAAACTTATCCTTTGTGCACAAAAACGAAGCCACCTGGTCACAGGACAATTTTTGCCACACTACAAAGCTTCACTCTCACAAATCGTGCGTCATTTGAAAAGGGCAAATTCTGCTGAGAGAATAATCATTCATCATTGTATTACAAGGTTTATCACAGGAAAGATGAGCAAACATGATTCCACTGCATCTGCTCCAAGTTCTACTACAACAAAGCTTTCAGGCACACCTTTATCTTCCCCTCAGCTTATCCTTTTCCCACGTGCCTTAGGGACGTGGCTAAAAATTTTGGACAGATGGATTTGTGGCTTTACTCAGAGTTTTGGCTCCACAACCCACAACTCCCTCTCGTCAAACACTGCTAATAAAACTAGGTATTCCTAATGAAGTGGGGAAATCCCTGTTTTCCCAAGCCAGTAAAGTAACTATTCCCACCCTCAGGCACAGATAGCACCACCAGTGTGCAGAAATCAGACCCTTGTGCTCGAAAACAAGGAGTTCAAAAGCTTCCTTTAAAGTCAAGCAACCTAAGCCACAAAAATCACAAGGACTTGGAAAACACATCGTGCTCTGCCACCACCTCCTGGGACATCCAGGGCTGCTGATGGAGCAGCACAGGCTCTTACCTTCACTGGAGGGGTTGCCCCAGTCCCCGAGTGCCGCCGGATCTGACAGCCGTTCTGGTTGGGTCTCTGTTGCTTGTTGTTGAGCTGTGGCTTCTTCACTGTGCCACCATGATCATTCCTGACTGATTCCACCTTCTCTGCAGTTGTCTTACTTAATAGCTTGTTTAGAGACAAAGCCATGAGACCGTTAGGGCTGAGTTCCACACAAAATCACAGAGTCACAGAACGGTTTGGGGTGGAAGGGACCTTAAGGATTATCCATTTCCAATCCCCTGCCATGAGCAGGGACACCTTCCACTAGCCCAGGTTGCTCGGAGCTCCATCAAACCCAGCCTTGAACACTGCCAGGGATGAGGCAGCCACAACTTCTCTGGGCAACCTGTGCCAGTACTTCACCACCCTCACAGGGAAGGATTTTTCCCTGCTATCTAACCTGAACATACTCAGTTGGAAGCCATTCCCCCTTGTCCTGTCACTCCATGCCCATGTCCCTCTCCATACATAGTCCCTCTCCATAATTCTTGTAAGCTCTCTTCAGGTACTGCAAGGCCACGATTAGGTGACCCCTAAAGCCTTCCCTTCTCCAGGCTGAACAATCCCAATCTTCTCAGCCTTTGCCCATAGCAGAGGTGCTCCATCCCTCTGACCATCTTGGTGGCCTCTTCTGGACTCACACCAAGAGGTCAATGCCCTTCCTCTGTGCTGGGGACCCCAGAGTTGGAGGCAGTGATCCAGGTAGGGTCTGAGCTCCTCCAAGCCCTATGTATTTTACTGTAGTTACAGTCTTAGAACAGCCCTTTGTAGGCAAAGGGATTGTACTCAAAATACAAGTTCTTTAAAAGACAAGTTATCTCCCTAACCCCATTCCCACACTCAGGAAAAAAAAAAATCACTCCCAAAAATATACCCAAGAAACAAACAACACAAGCACATTTTTCTGAATTTTGGCTACATACAGAACAGTTTTCTCTAGGTATTTCAGCCTATCCCCACCACTACTCACCACAGAGCTGTTGGCATCAGGCAGGAACTGTCCAAACTCCGAGAGCAGATCCTCCTGGTTCTTGAAGAGACGAGCGACCTGCGCGTACACCTCCTGCTCCGTCAGCGCCGGCGTGTAATTCCCTCCTGCCTCCTTGGCATTACGCTGCTCCTTCTGCCAGAGGAAAAGGGGACAAGGGTCAGAAGAAAGGATGCCCAAACTATTGAAGCGACATGGTAAAAACAAACAAACCCTTGGTGGCATTCAAGTACATGAATGGGGAATGCCAATATGATGGATCAGACTCTTCTCAGTGGTGGAAACCAATAAAACAAGAGGGAACAGCAAAAACTCATGCACAGGAAGTTCCACCTGAACATGAGGAAGAACTTTCCTGTGCAGTCACTGAGCACTGAATAAGCTGCCCAGAGATGATGGACTCAGATCAATTAATTTTTAATTTGCAGAAGTTCTGCTCAGTTCAAGCAGAATTCAAGACCAGGTTGGACAGGACTTGGAGCAACCAAGCAACTGATTCTACCTTCTCTGCAGTTGTATTACTTAACAGCTTGTTTGGAGACAAAGCCATGAGATCACTAGGACTGAGTTCCACACAAAATCAGTCACAGAATGGTTTGGGCTGGAAGGGACCTTTACAGATCATCCAGTTCCAACCCCCTGCCATGGACAGGGACACCCTCCCCTAGCCCAGGTTGCTCAGAGGTCCATCCAACCTGGCCTGGAACACTGGTGGAAGGCATCCTGGCCCATGGCAGGGGTTCAAACTGGATGACCCTTAAGGTCCCTTCCAACCCAAACCAGTCTGTGATGTTAGGACTAGTTGCTGGCCACTGCAGAAGACCCAAATGCAAGTCTTAAACAAGCACAGTTACCTCCCCGAGGCAAGGCAAGAGAAATAACCACACACAGACTCCAACCCGTGTCGTTAACACCCACCTGATACGTATGGAGGATCTCCAGGAAGGCTTTGTAGATGTCTGGCTGTCCCTGGAACCGATTCTTGATCTTGTTGACATAGTTGATGGCATGATTAAACTCCACGGGCTGATTGTTCTGCAGGGATGGTGTGGTGCCCAGAGAGATTGTCACAGGCGTGTGAGGTTGGACCGGCGGCGAGCGCGGCGACGCGTACGGCGGAATCGGAGGGGTTTGCTGGCTGGCAGGAGTATGTGCCTGCAACTGCGATGGCTGAGAGCAAGAGAAGCTGTGTCAGAAACCAGCAGACTCCTTTCTGTTTGAGATAAAGGCACTTTGAATCCACTTACGGACAGATAAATATTTAGTGGGTCAGCAGAGACTAAACCACATCAGGAAGCCAAACTGTGCAAGTTACTGTTGTCAAGTTGATTTTCCCTGCTAATTGCTTTGGACTGACACCCGACAAGAGACACAAACTACCTCATAAACTTAACAGAGCCAAAATGCATAGGTATGGCTTGCTCCAACACTGCAAACTGTCTTGCCCCTAGTGCAGAATTCTGGGATGCATCAAGATAACAGCAAGGGAAAACCAGAATTTCTTGAAGCAAAGAGCAGGCAGATAAGGCTCTCAGACTAATCCTTTGGAATACTCTTAATGGACACTGAACAGCCAGTGGAACATTTCGTCCTGAGGTGGCAATTGTAAATGGAAATGGAAGTACTTATTCCTCTCATCTTTTAAATTTAAAAACTGGTATTACAGAGTTTTCAGGACTGCCAGAAGTGTCCTGGAACAAAGTCCTGTCTCACTCACCTCATCACCTAACCTGTCCCTCAGGTAGATTTTAAAGTTTCAGCAACTTTTTGCAGGCTGATGGGGAGAAAACCACTTATCCTGTGGTCCTAATGAAGAAACTGAGACCATGTACTACTTCTTGGGAAGAAGTCCCTGAAATCTGGCACAGGTGAGTTCATTCCGGAATGCTTTAGCTTGGCAGCTTCCAGCTCTGCAAACCTTTCAGCATGTTTTTGTTTGCCGTTTCTGAACAGGAGGTTTCATGTCCCACCAATGTTTGCCCAGAGATCAGCCAATTGCCTCACTTTTAATCCTGCTGCTTTCTAACTGCATATTCCTTTTTTTTTTTTACTTCTTCCAGCCCATTGTTAACTAACTCTACAGTCTAGGGATTAACCCTTGAAACTCTGGGGATTCTTTCCCTCCCTAAGGCTCTCAAATCTTTCCACATTTTGAGGCTAAAACACATGATGTTTTACCTAGAGTAAACTCCTTGCACACTTATTATCCTATTCTGTTTCCAGTCACATAAAATACATCCCTTGGACAGTAGCATCTGGATTACACCTAAACCAGAATGGAATTCCCTTTGTTCCTGAGAGGTTTCAGTTTCAGGCACACCAAGCAATACCTACAAGCAACATCATGGTCATCTTGCCTGAGCTCTTGCACCTCAGATGTTGCCAGTAACTCCTGCACCCACCCAGCTGATGGCTGAACCAAACTCTTACCGAAAGCATCCAACCTGAAAACAAGACTTCAAGCAATTCAGAATCCACCAAATAACAAAGTCTCCCAAAGGCTTCATTGCCCCAAGCCTTTGAAACCACACACACAAGCTTTCACACCAAGAGGAACATCTTTATCACAGCCTCAGTTTCATGGGCAATTTCTTGGGGCTTTGGTTATTCTAAGATAACACACACAAACACAGGCAGTCAGTGTGTGCCTCGTGCTTCAACTAGGAACACACAAACACAGGCAGTCAGTGTGTGCCTGGTGCTTTAACTAGAAACCTTTTTCCTAGGGTTGCTGGATCACTCCCTGAATAACACGTGTACCATTTACCAGATGCTCTGAGCAACCCTCAGATCCCCACTGACAGCATCAAGACCTTTCCAAACCCTTCATGTTTTGGGAAAGCTTATTTGAATTGCTGTCAAATTAACCAGCATTGCACCTTGAAGTTTGAAAACAAGAAACTAACCCAGGAGCAGAACACACGAAGGGTCGCAAATACCACGGAAAAGCAGCACGGAAGTTAATTTTTCACTCTCTAGGCCACACCAGCTCCAGCTGGAGGCAGCAGGATGGCTGTGCTATCAGGGCAGGTCCCCCAAGGGCTCTCACCTTGCTGATTTTGGCAGGGGTGGGCTGCGGCGCCGGCTGTGCTGGTGTTGGGGTCGACTGCGCCGAAGGCTGCGACGGATGCGGCGGCTGAGGCTGAGGCTGTGGCTGCAGGCCATGAGTGGGGATCTGGTGAACCTGCCCTGGGGTGGTCACATTCACCATATCGTTGGTCTGCACCTCAATCTTGTAACCAGGGGGCAAGAAGGTGTTGAAACCCATGATCAAGTCTGGGTGGCCCTTGAAGAGCTGTGAAACTCGACTGATCACTCCCGGAGTGTCGATGCTGAGGAAGGAAGAAGATCACAATGTCAGGATTCTTTGGGGCCTTTCAGTGGGACAAAGTTCCCCAAATGAGAATTTTCCATTAGATTTTTCCTCATCACCTCTAACCTATGAAACAACACAAAACTGACTCCTATGAACTCTCTGCTGAAGTCAAGAGTGACATGAGCATTATTTTATCAGCCCAGACAGCATTTTGTATCTATGAGATCTAGTCCCAAGTCTGACCATTATTAATGGGCAGGCAACCAGACAGGCAGATGAATCAGCTGTCAAGGCTGAACTTGTGAACTGCCACTCTAAGCAGAGATTTAGCATAAATGAAGGGATGCATTTAATTTTCAGAAAAATAAAGCTCACAACTGCTTTCACAGGACAGAATTTAGCTCCTGCCCTGTGCTCCATGCCCATACACACCTCCTTTCAAAGAAGCAAAAAGCAGCTTGTTACCTTTGAGATTTAAATTCCTTCATAATATCCAAGAAGTCATTGTAGACCTGTGGTTGGCTACCAAACTGCAGCTTCACCTGGTCCAGGTAAGACAATGCATCCTCCACCTGGAAATGAACCAGAGTGGTTATATTAGCACAGCAGATTTGATTTCACCTCCCATTGTTCTGCAAAACACACACTATTTGAAAACACAGCTGTTAGCCCTGAGCCTGGGCAGGGAATTAAGGAGGAGCAAAAAGCTCATGAGCCTGGTTAGTGTACTACCAGCACTGTTTGAATAAGAGGTACTCACTCCCCACTCCTGGCCAACAAGATAAAACTGTATCAAAAAGAGAGAAAAAGGAAAAAAAAAAACCCAAAAAAAAGCAACAGAGATCAGCAGAATTACTCAGAGAAAAAAAAAACATACTCCAAATTTACCATCACTGAAGTGACTGCTAGGATAAACAGAACTAGACTGAGTATTTTTCCTGCATTCATATGTGGAAATTATTATGGAAGTCTAAGAATAAGCAGAAAGTGGAGATGACATATTCAGTGTAGCAGAGCCTGCCAGGTACACACTTGCACTCCTCACAAAACCAGACACTGCAGTTCGACGTAGAAGGGTTTTGAAAATGGCAACTGTGGGCGGTAAATTGTTTTACACCTCAAGCAGCAAGAGGTTTACGAACCTCTCGTGTACCAACAGCCACTTTTCAGAGGTTCTGAAAGAAGAGCCACAGCCTACAGCGAGAGCTCTGGGTCCCTGTGCCTCCAACAGCCAGGCCACACGCTCAGCAGCTGCAAGAGCCACGCACAGCCCTCTCTTTTGCCTGGAATTAAATGACAGCAGAGCAAGAAAGACTATCACGTACAGCCCCAACCTTGCATTAGCAAAGGATTTTCCATGGGTTTCACTGGGAGAAAGAACCAGTCATTTTGAAACTGTTTTCAGACAACTCCAGAACCAAGTGTCCCACATCCAGCAAAGGGGGATGGTGGTTCCACCAAAACTGGAAGAGACTCACGCTGTGTTTGGAAGAGACTAGGAAACAGGCATCAGTTGGCATATATGTGCCTTCTCCAAATGCAGCTACTTAAAGGGGTTATTTTTGGTGGACTTTTCCCTTTGTTTAAGGATTTTACAGCACGTAATCCAAGAATAGAGCCTTCCTTACTCCCAAATTACACCCACACAACCACCCACATATGCCATGTGTTCAGAAAAGCACCAAATGTTTTGGCGATTTAACCCATTCATCCAAATATTCTGAGCAACACTTTTTTTCCTTTTCTTTCCTGCCCCAAATCCTTCCCTAGCCAAGTCCAATTTATGGTTATTACAGTGTTCGAAACAACAAGGTTTCAGCAGTAAGAGAAACCCATTTCTGCATTCAATAGACTTCCAAACAGGAGAAGCATCTAAGAAACCTTCTCGGAGGTCACCGCTTGGCTTTGCAGGGAGGCGAACGGGACAGAAAATAAGACCTCCAGTTGGCCGAGGATTGAGGGAAGGGTTGTTTTACTTCAGGCAGCACTGCTTGGCGTTACCTTGAGCCTCTGGAACTGCTGCTGGCCCTGCACGGGCACGGCGGGCGGCGTGGGGTGCGCGTGGCTCTGCACCACC